CTTCAAGAAAGCTGGTGCACTTATCAAAAAACTGTGAAGCATGCAAAAACTAAGCATTTTTCCAATATTATTCTATCAAACAGTCATAATCCTTGTTTTCTGTTTAAGACTATTGACTGTGTGCTTAATGCTCCCAGACCATCTTGTATGGAAACCTCAGTGGAATTATGTGAAAGGTTCTCAAGCTTCTTCACTAATAAGGTAGAAAATACCAGGGCTTCCATTGTACTGCCCACTTCTGACCCATCCATCCCTTTTTCTTGTACTGCTGTCTTTAATAATTTTGCGCGTGTTAGTCTGCCCTTCTTGAGTGACTTAGTTGGTCGAATGAAACCCTCTGGTTCACCATTCGATGCACTTCCACCCAGACTTCTTAAGGAAGTTTTTCCCACTATAGCGCCATTTGCTGTTGACATTATCAATGGTAGTTTAACTACTGGGACAGTCCCCACTTGTTTTAAACATGCTGCTGTTCAACCACTGATTAAGAAGCCTGGCCTTGATTCATCCATTTTAACAAATTTTAGGCCCATTTCAAAACTCCCCTTTCTCTCCAAGGTATTGGAGAAAGTGGTCTACGGCCAAATAAAAACATTTTTGGATGAGTCCAACATTCTTGAGACGTTCCAGTCAGGGTTCAAGAATCGTCACAGCACCGAGACAGCCCTGCTAAGAGTACTTAATGATGTGTTTTTAGCTACAGACTCTGGCCACTGTGTTGCACTTGTCCTGCTTGATCTAACCGCAGCCTTCGACACAATAGATCATCAGATACTTCTGTCTCGCTTGGAGAGCTGGGTGGGAATTCGTGGTAGTGCCCTTAAGTGGTTTAGGTCCTACCTTACGCACAGGAGTTTTTGTGTTCGAATCGGAGATGTAGAGTCCGCCACTGCTCCCATAAAATATGGTGTGCCCCAGGGCTCTATACTTGGCCCTCTTCTGTTCTCACTATACCTCCTGCCACTCGGGTCCATCTTGCGTAAGCACAATGTTGCTTTCCATCTCTACGCTGATGACAGCCAGATTTATTTACCGTTGGAACATGGCAATGGATATTGTACAAAGCAACTTTTGAAGTGTATTGAGGAAGTTCATGAATGGCTGTCACTAAATTTTCTACATTTAAATGACAAAAAGACTGAGGTCTTGCTGCTCGGCCCAAAAGATGCCCCCTCCTCTTCTGTGGATTTGGGTCCTTTAGAAGAATACTTAAAACCAACTGTGACAAACCTCGGTGTGAAGCTTGACGTTCAGATCAGATCTGTTGTAAAGTCCAGCTTTTATCAGCTCAGGCAACTGTCCAAAGCAAAACCATTTGTTCCTCAGCATTTATTTGAGATTTTAATTCATGCTTTTATCACAAATCGTTTAGACTATTGTAATGCACTTTATTTTGGACTCAATCAGTCGTCTCTCGCTCGACTTCAACTTGTACAAAATGCTGCTGCTCGCCTTTTAACTGGCACCAAAAGGCGAGAGCACATTACACCTGTTTTGAGGTCACTGCACTGGCTCCCTATTTCATATCGTGTTGAGTTTAAGATAATTTTATTTGTTTTTAAATGTCTTCATGGTCTTGCTCCTCAGTATCTGTCTGACCTGTTGCAGCCCTATACCCCTCCACGCTCCCTGAGGTCAGCAGATCTGTCTTTGCTGGTTGTTCCCAAAACAAAAAGAAAAACCAGAGGCGACCGTTCTTTCGCTGTTGCTGGTCCTAAACTGTGGAACGCACTGCCCCTGCACCTCAGACAGACAGAGTCTCTTGTTCCTTTTAAATCGTCTCTTAAAACACACCTTTTTTCCTTGGCTTTTAACACAACCTGAGAAGTTCGACTTTGGAATGTTTTGTACTTTTGTTTTTACTGTTTTATTAATGTAATCCTCATTGTTGTGTTCAGCACTTTGGTCGACGCTGTTGTTTTTAAAGTGCTTTATAAATAAAGTTGGATTGGATTGGATTGGAGAATTATATATTCTTCTTTATATATTGTCTCTGCAGATAACGGAACAATGCGAGAAAGCTGAAGGCAGCTCACAGCCAGTTAGAACCATGAAGATAGTTCAGCTTCCAAGTCCCCAATATGTGATCTACACTGACAATGAGTTGGAGCATGTGAGGAAAGAGTACTTTGAGTTCAAGCGTGCAGGAAGAGAGAAAGATTGTAAGCTTTCCAAGGAGCTGAACTGCAGGCTCATCAGGAATACCATAGTAAGCATGGTTTCTATCGTGAGGGCTACTGGAGGGGCTGATTCTCTGAGTTACCCAACCAAAGAGGACTTAAAGGCCATGGCAAGGAGAACCCTTGGATATTATCCAATGCTCATAGACCAAACAAGTATCAGCCCCTCTGTCTGTCGACCCTGTCCATTGAAGATTCGGAAGACGTATATATCTTTGGCATTTTGGTGGTGGGAATCCTCCTGTTTGGCTTTGGAGCTGTTCTCTTCTACCACAAATTCGGAGGCATGGCAGTTCGCAAGATTCACGACCTGCTGGCCGACAAAATTGATGGGATGTACAAGGAGCTTAGCCGCGTCGTGGTTGAGAGTGCCGTGTCTGGTCAAAGGAGAGTGGTTTTAGTGGAACAGTTGGTTAAAGACCTCGCAGCTCGTTCACTCGATGGACATAAGACTCTGGAGTTGAGATTGAATGACATTGTTTGTCAGGCTTGAACTCTCTGATCCGGCTTGGATCTGCCCCTGTGTACGGGGTCTGAGGGCGCCGCAATTCGGTTTAATAGGATTTAATAGAATATCTGCCTGACATTGCATTTAATATTGTCCCCCTGAGGCGATGTGTTTCTCCTGCTGTGTCTGTGTCTTCTCTCCACTCTTATCTCACATTCCTCGGGCCAAGGCCATAATAACAAAAGGTCCCATCTACAACAATCTCACACTTCAGTCTCCAGCTCGGATCCCGTCTCCCCCGCCTCCCTCTCTATCCATCTTGCTCCCTCCCTCCCCTCCCCTCCACTCCTCACTGTGTTTCCGACTCACCCCCCTCCCTGACCCCGCCCCCCTCTGACAGCCACATTGGGCCGGCTGTAGGAGGTGCTTCATCCCGAGAAAAAATCCGTGCTTTATACAAGGCACAATGTGTCTATCCAACTGTCTGTGAAACTGTATGTTATTGCTCTCTGCTGTTTATTCTACTGTTTGTCGCATGGCGCCGTAAAGATGGCGCCGTGGCAAGAGCTCTGGTGTGTGTCGTCTCCTCTGTCTGGTGCACACCGGGGTAGTCTTGCACAGTTTTTCCAATGTGGTTTTACTGCAAATGGCAAATAAATGAATCTGAATCTGAAACAGACCCTGACTGTCCATGGGTATGTATAACTATTGCTTATTTACAATACTTATTGCTAAGTAATTACATTTATTATGAGTCATAATTGGATATTATCTACATATCAGATCAGTTATTTTGACATAATATGTATTTGTAACAATGTATTTTTGTTTTTTCTGTTTCAGTCCCTAATCTTCAAGAAGCTCAATAAAAGACTGCAAAACATTAGATCTCCTCGAAAGCACCAAGGAGCTACACCAGCAAGGGGCAATGGAAAGAGAAGATGTCTTTCCTTTGAAGAGTCAGCAGACATGGAGGCTATAGAGGATGACGAGGAGAGCTCGGACACCAGATCATCTGAAAGGGTCCTTTCACCACGAAGCAGTAGCGACAGAACTCCTGAGAGGGTGCAACTGCAACCAAAACAATTGACCAGCAAACTCTCAATTATTTCTGGTAAACCTGGCATCATAATATTTTTCATACTTGCATTCATACTCTAATTTTCCTTTTATAACATAAACTTATTGTCATAATTTCTAATTCTATTTGTGTGCAGGTGACCAAATGCATGACAGCAGAATTGTTCAGTCCAGGCACTACAAAACACTACAAGATATGTTCTGTAAAAAATCTCAAAACAAAGAGGCTGTTACTCAACTTCTGGATCTGGAGTTTGAGGGGCGAAGGACCTTCATCAATGCAGACCTTCTGAAGAAGCCAGAGAAGGCGGCAAAAATTATAGAAGCGTACCCCTGCTTCAAAGACATTGACCATGTATGTTTTGAGCATCACACATATCCAATAATTGGGGAAAACTCTTTTTATAAAGCTATATCAACTGTGTTGTATGTTATTTTTTTAGGCTCTTGATGAAGTCCGTAGAATAATAGATTTTGGACAACTTGACTATGTCAAGAATTTGAGAGAGCGCTGGCTGGTCTTCAAGCAGAAACTGTTATTCTATGCTGTTTTCAAGAAGGCAATGAAACCTCCCATGTCCCTTTCTGAAGGCAAGTGTTATTACAGAAAGGAAGTCACTCTTGTTGTTGAATCAAGAAATCTATCCAAGAAAAAATGACTTAAAATAAGCAATTTTAATTGCTAGATGAGCACTTTTAATGGCTAGAAATAAGCAGATTTTAATGAGAATCAAGTAGTTATTACTTAAATCAAGAATGAAGTTGCTCAAAATAAGCTAAAAAATAGAACATAAGGTGCTTAAAACTAGTGTTTTCTGCTCAAAACAAGATGTGTAGGATTCTTGTACTTTGTCTTATTTTAAGAAAACTTTATTAGTGAAATTTTCTGACTGCACTGGCAGATTATTTCACTAGAAATAAGTTATTTTTTCTGTGAAATAAGTTCTTTTTTCTTATTTTTTGAAAGGCCTTTTTTGCAGTGTATGACTGCATTCAAGAATGTTGTCCATCTACTGCTACCATTGGATCTCCTATTGCAACTACAGCCAAAAATTAGTAACTTAAAAAAGTTGTTTTTATGTATTCAAGCTACCTGGAGGACTAAATAACTTGTAGGATTTTTGTTTTGTTTTCCCTTAATAATGATCTGATTATGTGTAATGATCAAATCAATTAATCAATGTGTAATACTAGATCTTGAATTTACATTTAATCGCATAGCTCATTCAACAATAAAGATGATTTTAACACACATTTCTTTATTATTTCCACTGATAGAAGCGATTGTCCAGATGCTGGGTCTGCCTCCCAGACATGTGCTGGACTCTGGTCTGCATACACTGAAGTACTTCTGCAGTCCTGATGGACAGACCTGGGTTCATAAGGTACGAACACTTTCAACAGAACAGACTTTTCTGCAGTTAACATTGCTCCATAGTTTTGAGACTGTCCCCAAAGATAGGAGCTTGACCCTTTTCTCTTCTACCATTTTATTTCTTCTTGTCTACAAAATTTGTGAATTCTTTACCAAAACAGTACTAAGTTGTCCTTCATTGTCTTTCTTTTGTCCTAGTCATCATGTGTTTCTGAGGAAACAAAGAGACCAAGCCTCATTCAAAAACTGGAGGATTTGTACATGGTAAGAGGCATACATTGTAAATAGCAATTCATAGTTACAATCATTCTATGATAGAAAAAATCGTCTTGGAAAATACTCTAATTCAGATGAATCCACACGGCTGTGAGGATCTACATCTTTTTGTGGACCTCATTAAACGGCTGCTGGACATGGATCCAGATTCCAGGAGGCTACAGATCATCCCTTCATCAACCCATCCCTCTGCACTCAAGTTGATGACCCAAAGCCTCAGTAAGTATTGGGCCAATGTTTTCTCAAATGGTACTGTTAGCTCCTAGTCTGACACTTGCCTGTAAAATACTGTGTCATCTAATGAAAAGCAACGACAAGGTCTACCACAGACAAATAATTTCTAACATGCTGTCTTTTAGTTTGGGGAGTCAATCGCCCTCCTCTCTCTCAGAGACTTCTAAGGTTCAGACTTCCGGCCAAAAGAGGAAGCGCGAGAAGGGAGAACAAGGTTCAGAGGAAAAGATCAGGTTTCTGTGATCAGGTATGTAAACTATGTACTGTTTGTTCTAGATGTGTCCTTGTGTTGTTAAGCTTTGAACCTCTCCATTCTGTCTGTGACCTGAAGTGTGATGTACATTTGTTCCTGGTCACACATAATCACACAAAGGCAGCTCCACCTCAATCTAAAATATCAAACCTATTGATAGAAATTGAAGCTGGTCTTATGATCGTAATCTTATCTTATAACAAAGGACACCCAGCTCTATGCTGTCACTGTCACTTATTTCAGAGATGCTTTCAGAGATATTTGTCCATAGAGAAAGTTTGAGATTGGAAGTACCAATCATTAAGAGATTGTTTTAATTTGTGACAAAGGCTGTAATCTTTGAAAAATGTTCACATCTTTGTCTCTCTTTCAGTTCTACAGAGTCTTCCAATCATCCAGGACGTTCCAGCCCTAGAGATTCTCACACAAAACACCACTTGCCATCTGGTCCTGTACCATCTCAGGCACCATTGGTTCCTGATTCCTCATCACCGGACCAAAAGCCTCAGTAAGTATTTGGCCAATATTTTCTCAAATTGTAAATCAGAGTCCGACCCTTGACATACTGTATAATCTCTATCTTTATCACTGCACGCACAAGGTCTACTAGTAACAAATACTTTCTAAATGTTTTTCTATTAGTTTGGAGAGTGAGTGAATTTGGTCGCCCTCCTCTCTCCCAGACACTCTCAAGCTTTCTCCTACTTGTGGCCAAAAAAGGAAGAGAGAAGATGTAGAAGAGGGTTCTGGGATCAGGTATGTAAAGTGTCCTCTATGTACTTGATGTGATCTGTGATCAACATTAGCTATATTATCTTTGTTGTGGTGAATCATACTTGTATACGAGGGAAAGTTTCAGATAGGAAGGACCATCATTGAGAGATTCTCTCCATGAGCAGGAAGAAGAGGGCTAAAGAGGACGTCCTCATCCGGAACACTTCTGGGGAGCTATGTGATGGAGATGTTCAGCCACTGTCTTCACATGTGGTCAGCGCTCCCAGGAAACAGGAGGCAAGAAGTGGATCTCCAATGGATCAGTCCCAGCTCCCAAACTGAGGCCCACGCAGTTACCTCTGTAAGTATTCGAACTAGATGTGGTCAAACTGCAGATATGGGTGAATATTGATGTAAGATATCTCCCGCAGGTCAAAAAAGAGGTGGACACAAGCAGTGTTCCTTCTAAACTGTGAGTGCGCAATTGCGCAGTGCTTTTGGAGCCTCGGTGGACAGAAAACTCTGTCCCGTTTCACAACAATGCATTTGCAGCTCATCAACCGGATTTACTGCAGCACCAGAAGAACTACACAGTCGCCTATTTCTACAGTGTGTGGGCCGTAATGGAGCTACGCACGCAGGTCCCATTCAGAGACAAAAAAGAGCAAAGTCAGACTTACGGACTGGCGGATCGCTGTAGGACAGTGTTTTCCTTTGTTTTTAGAGGCATGAACAATAAGACTCGGTCTTCAACATGCTCCTATTCTGACATGTGAACTGTACAGTTTGATAATTTGTAGTATGGTTTGGACATTGTGTTAAACACATGTAAGACAGAATAAAGTCTAAAATAAAGTCTAAAGTCTTTCATTCTCAAATAAAACATCATTAATAATAAACTTTGTGTTACATTGACACATGCTGCTATACACTCCATGATTCAGTTGAATTCAAGTCCAGCAACACAAACACAACCATCCATGCAAAAGAACATCATATAAAATGTTTCTAACTAATCTACAATAGTGCATCTGTCGTTCACCTGTTGTACAGTCTTATAGCCAAAGCAACGAAGGATCTCTTAAAATAAGTGTGTGAGACTTGCTTAGCAGTAGCAGTAGTAGTAGTAGTAGTTACAGTCGTAGAAGCAGTAGTGATTGTTTATTTCAAAAGGCAGACATTTCACACAAAACAAAACAATAACCAGGAGTCTGCGCTTGTTTGGCTCACACACTCCCTCAGACAATACACAGGCTCAAAAAACTCTCTGACCCAACAGTTCATACCACATTGGAAAAGTATCAAGAGTAATCATTTGTCTATAGCATTGAATGTCTACATTTGGGATCTTTATGTGATGGCATTGGCACCATAATGCAAAACCTGGAACAAACGACGCAGCTGAGAACAATGTGTTTTGCCTAAATGATTAGAAGTGTCATTTTGTGTCACCCGGACTTGTTCATATTCTAACCCTGCTGTATTATTACGTTCAGATGGAGCGTAATGTCTCCAGGCACAACTCTGAGTGCTTTAATTAAAGATAGACGGCAGGCCATTTTCTCTGCAGAGCGAAAGAACGATCAGCAAAGTGCATTTCTCACCGGGAAAATGAACTGAATTAAACTGCCTCTGCAAAGAATATGTGCATGTGCTTGTGTCTCATATTGAGCCATGTTCAGTTCAATGTAACAAATGTAACACAGATATAAGTGTGCTCTGTCAATAGAAAAATGACAATGTGTTTGGTACTTTAAAAGCAGAATTTTATGTCCCACCACTATCAATGGGGTTATTTCACTATTCTATTCTATTCTACTCTATTCAATTAAATGCATTTTTGTTTTGCCCTAAATCAAAACTGCAGTTGTCTTGGAGGACTTTACAAAATTATCAATTCACCAACAACAGAGTAGGGAATCAAACAATTAGAACACAGGAAATGCAATAATACAAAGCAGGGTTAAGTGTCTTGCCCTAGGACACAACAACAGCACACTTCAGTGGGAGTCTGGTCCTGTGACTCTGGTCACGTGTATATGGTCCTGCAACCTCTGGTCTTCTGCCTCTGGTCCTGTGTCTCTGGTACTGTAGCCTCTGATCCTGGATCTTTGGTCCTGTGCCTCAGGTCCATAGCCTCTGGTCCTATGTCTCTGGTTCTGTAGCCTCTGGTCCTATCTGGTTCATAGCCTCTGGTCCTATCTATGTGGTTCTATAGCCTCTGGTTCTGTGAGTCTGGTCCTGTAGCCTCCGGTCCTATCTATCTGGTTCATAGCCTCTGGTCCTATGCCTCAGGTCCATAGCCTCTGGTCCTATGTCTCTGGTTCTGTAGCCTCTGGTCCTATCTGGTTCATAGCCTCTGGTCCTATCTATCTGGTTCTATAGCCTTTGGTTCTGTGAGTCTGGTCATGTGTCTCTGGTCCTGTAGCCTCTGGTCCTGTCTCTCTGGTCTTGTGCCTTAGCCCTGGTGCAGGCTCCTCTGGTCTTTACCTCAGCTGGTTGCTCTCCTGGTCATTTATCAAACAGCCTGCACTCAGTCAGAACAGACCGCGGTGATGAATTATGTGGCAAGTGCAGCACATCACACCAAACTACAGACCCCCAGAAAAGACCACCAGGCCCACACACACACGTTAAAAAAATATGTGCATGTGCATGAAGTTAGAACAGCTTTCAAATCACTGTGTATCTCAGTGTGAGGAACATTAGAGAAGTGGAGCCTTGTCTGGGTCTATCTAAAAAGGCAGTGGTGATGATCCAGGACACTCAACATTCAACAACATTTATAGACATTGGTCATCTTCCCCTTATGGACCATTTTTGTCTTATGCACATCAGTTAAAACAATAACATAATATTGACAAATGTGAAAAAAGCTCCACAAAATGAATGTTTTGAGGAAAAAAAATCCCTGAGTAAAATTTATGAACCAAACAATAACAGCACCATACAAAATCATGTTCTATGTGAAAAAGTAGACTGGTCTTCCGTAAACTCCGGTCAATTGCTGGGTTGCACCTGATGTCACGCAGCGGCGGAAGTCTCCCGAGCAACAGGAAGTAAATATCCCCGTTAAGAACAATGTAAAAATGCACTCATTCCAAATCAAAATGCTCTTTTTCTCTAGCGTGTACAGTTGTGGCAACTGCTCATATCAAGTGGGGAACTTATGGAGTCTCTATTGTGTTTAAAAGAATTCACTAACGGGTGTCGATTTAAAGGAAAATGCCTAAAAAGGAACGGAAGAAATGCTTTGGCATTAGCATTAGCCTGCGTAGCATCTGCAGCTGCAGACACAGCCGACAGTCTACAGCAGGGGTGCTCAATACGTCGATCGCGATCTACCAGTTGATCGCAAAGGTAGTAGTAAGTAAGTAAGTAAGTAATTATTTATATACCGCCTTTTCACTGCAGAGCTGAGTCTCAAAGCGGTTTACAATTGCTATTTTTTTGGGCACTTGTCTCTCACTCCACACAGAGATGGGAGCGGGGCCAGTACAGGAGGCGCATGCCAGAACTATTGGACATATTTTTAGCGGTAGGGGAAACCGGAGTACCCGGAGGAAACCTACGCAGACACGGGGAGAACATGCAAACTCCACTCAGAAAGGCCCTGGTCCGACCGGGATTCGAACCCAGGACCTTCTTGCTGAGAGGCGAGAGTGCTATCCACTCAGCCACCGTGCCGCCCACGGTATTGTATCTAGTATTGGTAGATCGCATTAAATAAATAAAAAATTACACATTCTAAACGAATATATACAAAAAACTCCGGGCAAAGTGGAGATTTTTGAAAACTCCGTTAATGCATTTGTGTGTAGACAGAGATAACCGGAGTTTTGCGTTCTCGCACGCCACAGTACCCCCCTAAATTCCTCTGATCACTGAAACATGGATCATACTACCTTAAAAACTGTTCGCTGTGAGATGCTCGCAGCAGCGAACATCCTCGCTCCACATCAAAGAGCAGCAAAGTGATCGCGGGGACTCACGCTCGAAAACAACCAAACCAGGACTAAACCAGGACTAAACCAGGACTAAATCAGGGCTGAGGACGGGGTCAGTGCTTGTAAACATACGTCTTTACTCTGAGTTAGTGATGTGCGATTCGTGAACGAATCGTTCAAAACTCGAGGTTCACTTTACTGACTCGGGAGTCGTGATTCCCCGCCTCCATTAACTCGTTCACTAACTCGTCCGCCCACCACTTTCTAAACTGCGACCCCCAGACTGCGTTTTCTACTAGCCACAATGAATGACACTCTAATATTACGTGTGTGACTGTGTGTGTGTGTACTGTAGCTCGTTTGAGCACAGAAACCAAAAGCTTATTGTTTACAACCATCTACTTCACCGTAACGTCCTCCTTCCTGCCTGCCCGCGCCTGCTAGTACGAGCCGTACGAGCAGTGAACGACTCACTGTGGTTCTGGATCAGCCCCTTCCCGCTCCCCTTCGAGTCGTTCAGCTCTGAACGAATCGTTCATCTGATCTGACTCACTCACTCACTCGGCATCAAGCGAGTCGAAACAACAGGACAGGACACCGACTCGTCTCGTAACTCTCGTTCTCTAACTGGGTTGAAAAAAGTAGTTTATTTTGCCCCATCTGACAAAAAATAATAACCCTCTACATGTATTATGTGAGGTAGATTGAAAAATATAATTGGCTATTTATTAAGTTATTTGTTCAGCTGTGTTTCTCTCGTCGGACAACAGGAGTTCCGCCTCGAACATTATTGGCGTTACAATGATTGTCATCAATAAAAAATGAATGTGTGAAAAATATCAAAGTTGTTTGTATTTATTATTTATATAATATAATTGTTATGACCTTTTTTTTTTTACCAGGAATGTAGGTTTTAACACGGAATACATTTATGTAACACCACATTTTTGGCGGAAAGTTTTAAATAGTTTTATAGAAAATGGATAGTAGCCGCAGAAGAAGCGATATTTGGATGCACTTTGAAATAACAGGCCCATCACGAGCAAAATGTCAACTCTGTTCGTGTTATTGTATTTCTTGTATTGTGACAGCCCCTCGCTTGGAATGTTGTTGATGCTTTGTTCACAATTTTACTGTTGAATTGTTAAATTTAAAGAGTTTATATTTTGTCAAATTAGTTTACATATTTGTTATTGTTACCATTTATCAAATTTTAATAAATGTTTTGATTGTAAATTGCCATTTTAGCATTATTTTGTGTTCATGTATGTTTTTTTTTTCTGAACAACTGAATCACTGAATCAAATGACTCAAAACACCCGATTCACTTTGGTGAGTGATTCACTTTAACTCGAGTCAGTAAAATGAATCGAACTTTACATCACTACTCTGAGT